CCGAGCTCCTCCTCCCCGAGCAAGGCTAGTAGTCTTCCTCCTCCTCCACCTCTTCTGGCTGTTTCTGCTGCCTTAGCGCTCGGGCTCCCGGCGCTGTGAGCAGAAATCTAATGAGACCCAACTGGCTGTTTATGTAATTCTTCACAATCCTGTCTTAAGGCGTTGCTTTAAAAACTACCTTCCACCCAGCCAGGCTGGGCTCGGCTGCACCTTTAAGTAATCCAGCTGAATCTGCTCTCCCTGCCGGCGCTTGGCTTTCGGTTTGGAAAGTGTTGTTTTGGGGGCAACACGAAAGGTTCTTTGCCCTTTGTCACCAAGAATATGGAAAATGGAACAGACGGATTAACACCAGCTTGATTGTTTTAAATGCCCTTTCTGATCAACCTCGGTGTACAACTAGCTCTCCCTTGGAAATACCTCTGTTTGCCCTTGATCTTTTCTTATCCCCACCCAGTGCTGATCCAGCAAACGTTTAAAGGTCGACCTTATCGTACAAGCCTCTCTAGAGGCTGTTCGTTTTATCCGGTGAGGGAAAGAGGTGGTTTTCTTAAAAATTAGAATAAAACTGAGAAACCCTGCACTTTAAGCGGAGTAATCAATAACAGTTTTAAGCTGCTTGTTTTTCCTGTACTTGCATCTGAGAGAAAATTTCAGAATTGGGGGGGTGGGGTGGAGGGACAGTAAACAACAAAAAGAAAAAGGCTCTGAGAAGTTTTTGTGAGTGCCCTTGGCATCGTTAAAACTAAAAGGGATAATTTGGTTTCTATCATTTACCAAGGTTCATTTAATACATTTAATTTTAGCATTTTGTACTTTGAAGGTTAAAAATAATTTTGTAACTTTTGTAACATTCCCAAGTATTTAACATAGAACAGATTTAAATGTGATACTTCCAAAATGAACTGAGATGCAAGAGTCACTTCTAAAATGGTGAATAGCAAGAAAACTAATGACCAACTTCTAAAAGTAGAGTGTGTATGTGGGTGGGTGAGCGCAGTGCACAGCTCCTAGTAAACACTGTTGACAGTGGGGTAAAGAAAGACATTCTGAAGGTGCTAGGAAACTGTATGTAAATAGCTTAAAATGCTGTTTTACTGTAAATCTGTCTTGAACTTTAGTGATTTTTTTTTGTCTGTTCTTTTATTTTGTAGTGGTATTTTCCAGGCTTTCTAGCCTAGTAAACATTTTCAAAAGTAAAATTACTTTGGGTAAAAAGCTTTGGAGCTACTCTATGGATCTTATTTGGACGTGTTTGCTTTCATTTTGTTTTCTTAAAGGAAGAAGACCACGGAAGGTTGAAGGATAATCTACTAATACCAGCACTTTGAATGAGAATTTGTTTCTCTGCCACAAACTGATTTTTTAAAAATTTTATTTTTCTGGTGGAGTAGTTGAAAGAAACCTAACTTTTGTGGTAGCGCAGCTATGCAGCTTGAAATCCAAGTAGCACTAAATTTTATTATTTCATACTTGTACAATAAGCTTCCCAGGAGACGTGTCAACATTTTTGGTGAAGAGCTTGAAAGACTTCTTAAGAAGAAGTATGAAGGGCACTGGTACCCTGAAAAGCCATACAAAGGATCAGGGTTTAGATGCATACATGTCGGGGAGAAAGTGGACCCAGTGATTGAACAAGCATCCAAAGAGAGTGGTTTGGACATTGATGATGTTCGAGGCAATCTGCCACAGGATCTTAGCGTTTGGATCGACCCGTTTGAGGTTTCCTACCAAATTGGTGAAAAAGGACCAGTGAAGGTGCTCTATGTGGATGACAATAATGAGAATGGATGCGAGTTGGACAAGGAGATCAAAAACAGCTTTAACCCAGAGGCCCAGGTTTTCATGCCCATAAGTGACCCGGCCTCCTCAGTGTCCAGCTCCCCATCACCTCCCTTCGGTCACTCTGCTGCTGTCAGCCCTACCTTCATGCCCCGGTCCACTCAGCCTTTAACCTTTACCACTGCCACTTTTGCTGCCACCAAGTTTGGCTCTACCAAAATGAAGAATAGCGGGCGTAGCAGCAAGGTAGCGCGTACTTCTCCAATCAACCTCGGCCTGAATGTGAACGACCTCCTGAAGCAGAAAGCCATCTCTTCCTCCATGCACTCTCTGTATGGGCTGGGCCTGGGCAGCCAGCAGCAGCCACAGCAGCCACAGCAGCAGCAGCCGCCATCCCAGCCGCCGCCTCCACCACCTCCACAGCAGCAGCAGCAGCAGCAGCAGCAGCAAACCTCTGCTCTTTCTCCCAATGCCAAGGAGTTTATTTTTCCTAATATGCAGGGTCAAGGTAGTAGTACCAATGGAATGTTCCCAGGTGACAGCCCCCTTAACCTCAATCCTCTCCAGTACAGTAATGCCTTTGATGTGTTTGCGGCCTACGGAGGCCTCAACGAGAAGTCTTTCGTAGATGGCTTGAATTTTAGCTTAAATAACATGCAGTATTCTAACCAGCAATTCCAGCCTGTTATGGCTAACTAAAAACAAAAAACAAAAGAGAACATGTATCGTACAAGTTAAAATGCATCGGCCCAAGGGGGAATTTTTTTTTTTTTTTTGCCTCCTTGAGATTTTTTTTTTTAAAGCTTATAGTAAGGATACATTCAAGCTTGGTTACAAAATAAAAACATGCATCATTTTTCATTTGCCAACCAAGCACAAAGTTATTTTATACTGACTGTATATTTTAAAGTATACTCTCAGATATGGCCTCTTACAGTATTTAAGATATAGCAAGGACATGGCTGATTTTTTTTTTTTTTATAAAAAATTGGCACTAATAAGTGGGTTTATTGGTCTTTTCTAATTGTATAATTTAATTTAGTACAAAGTTTGTAAAATATCAGAGGATATATATATTGTTTCTACGACATGGTATTGCATTTCTATCTTTTTACTACAGTGATCTGTGACAGCAGCTTCATGTTGTATTTTTTTTACTGAAATTGTAAAATATCCATCTTAAAGACATCAACTATTCTGAAATTGTGTACAGGATATTCCTTTAGTGGTGGAATTAAAATGTACGAATATTTGCTTTTTCAAAAAAATGTATTTTCTGTTAAAGGTTTAAAGATTTTTGCTATATATTATGGAAGAAAATGTAATCGTAAATATTAATTTTGTACCTATATTGTGCAATACTTGAAAAAAAACGGTATAAAAGTATTTTGAGTCAGTGTCTTACATGTTAAGAGGGACTGAAATAGTTTATATTAAGTTTGTATTAAAATTCTTTAAAATTAAAAATGCCTCTCGTGTTTTTGTTTTAAGCCTTTGCTAGAAGTCTGTGGCTGGAGTTAGGTAGAGTCTCAGGAATAGTGGAAGGCTGGGGCTCTGATTTGGTCAAACAAGTTAGGTAGAGTGTTTGCCTAGTGTGTAAGAAGCCATGGGTTTGCACCCTATAAATATAAGTGGTACATGCATGCCTCTTGTCCCAGCATTCAGGGTAGAGGTGGGAGGTTCAAAAGTTCTAGGTCATCCTTGGATGCATAGTTTAAGGCTACGCTGGACTACATGAGACATTTATTTATTTATTTATTTATTTTGGTGTTTTCAAGACAGGGTTTCTCTGTAGCTTTGGAGCCTGTCCTGGAACTCACTCTTGTAGATCAGAGATCTCCTGCCTCTGCCTCCCAAGTGCTGGGACTAAAGACATGGGCCACCCTTTCTATTAAAAAAAAAAAAAAAAAAAAAAAAACTATTCAAATTAGCACAGACTAACCAATGATCGGCCTCTGTTTTGTAACAACCTTCCTCAAACTGTTTCATCCAGGAGAGAGGTGATGAGATGAAGTCATGATCTGACAGCATTTATATGAAGTGTATACGGAGAGGGAACTCAAAATGCTAGAGAAAGCATCTGACCTGTTCTTAAAAGGTTTCTGTGTGTTTACTAATCCCTCGATCTTTAGCCATTGTCTGTGGCTAGAGAGAAATTAGGATTAAAACCATCCACAGTTGGAAAAGCTGCTAAATGTTAGTTTCTTTTCCCAGTAAAATGTTTACATACTGTTTTTTGAATTTTTTTTTGTTTTTCAGATTGCATCCAATCTAGTTAGAGGGATTTTACAAATTAGTTATTTATTAATGCCTGAAGTTGTACAATCTTGAATTTTTTGTAGTATGTTTCATCTTTTTTGGCTGATGAATCAAACAAAGCATCTTTAAGATGGCAGGTTGTGGTGGCAAATGCCTTTAATCCCAGCCCTTGAAGCGGACCCAGAACTCGGAGTTCCAGGCCAGCTGGAGTTACATAGGCCCTGTCTTACACAAAACCTTTAAGATGGATCATTTCACTGTTTAAATGTTTGCTGATAACATGTTGGTAGAATATTGGTGAGAAAATTGTCTTGAACTGGGAAGAACAGGCCTGCTTTTATAATAAGGCACCAGTGCTGTCTGGGTTACCAGTGAAATGAGGGTTTTAGACACAAGCCTACAAAAGCCTTTTGTCACCCAAGCTGTCTAGAGCAATAAAAGTTTTAAGGCAACAAGCACTGAAATAACAGAACTAAACTGCTCCTTGTGCTCCATGGTGAGGCCTTTGTCCCATGGTGGATGGAATGAGGCTATGAAGAAATATTGGAGTAGCGAGTGGAGCCTCACAGTGACCAGGCTGCCAATTCCTGGCTTTGGGGAATCACAGTTTGAACAGCAACAGTAAAGGTTTTAAACACCAGTTGACAGAAACTTCAGTGAAGTTATCCGTAGCTTTAACTTGGAAGAAAAAAGCTAGAGCTAACACAACTTTTCAAAACATCAGAGTAAGGCAGCCTGAAAACATAGTCAAAAGATTTGTAGATATTGACACAAATGGTTCAGCTCTTAGGGAAAAGTCATCTTGGAACCTTCTTATTAATCTATATTTGAGGAAGATTAACTCAAATTTTTATCTTGATTGGTTTTAGGAAAACTTGAGCTTAGATCTGAGTAGTTTTTTTTTTTTTTTCCTTTTTTAAGAGAATGAACAAAGGCCCTGTTTTCATGCATTTTTTTCCTCATTAGGAATGCAAATTGTCTTAAAGGAACTTATGTCTGGCACATTTAGAAAACCTTAATCCCAGATCGTTCTTCTCACTGTGTCATCAGTCCTAGAGCTTCTGTGTGAAGACTATTTTGGTTTACAGTTTGAGAAGTTATTTCCATAAATCTGCCCCATCTTCTTGGCTCCAGTAACTATAGATCCTGTTGCAGCCACTGAACGCCCAGCCCTGGTGTGTGACAAGCTTTCCAGGTTGCATTCAAGTGAGGAAGGAGGAAATGATAGCTCCAGGGTTTAGTGTATCCTACTGCCTGTGCTTCCTCTTCTCAGAAATCTTATTCTCTGAAGGAAGGTCTTACATAGCCCGGGCTGACCTCCAATTCATTGTATAGCTGATGATCATCTTGAACCCCTGATCTCCTGCCTCTATCTCCCAAGAGCTGGGATTACAGGTGTGAACCACCACATAAAGTGCAGACCTGCAGTCAAAACACTTCCTGACAGATCACAGCAATATTCATTTATTGTGATAAGTGAATTTCCTTTTTGAAGGGAAAGCTAAAGTTACCCTGAAGTTGAAGATGTTTTTCTAAATGTAGATTGGTATTAATTTTATTCGCAGAGATGCTTAGGTACCTCCATCTTAACTGAGAGGTTTAATGTAACTTTCAGGGCTTACATTATTTAACAATAAGTCACCGAGAGCCAGGTGTGGTGGAGCACATCTTTAATCTAAGGACTCAGGAGACAGGCAGGTAAATCTCAAAGACCAGCCTGGTCTACAGAGCCAGCTCCAGGACAACCAGTGCTACACAGAGAAACTGTCTTGTAAAAACAAATAATAAAAAAAAAAGCATGGAATATAAATGATACAGTTGTTTCTTGGCATCCCTGGAGGGATTGGCTCCAGATTCTCACCAGATTCCAAAATCTGGAAATGCTTAAAGCCCTAATATAGAGTGTATGATTCTTGCATATGCCCCTAGATTATTTATAATACCTACTATAATGCAAATACTACATAAATATCTGTTATGATATATTGTTTAGGGACAATGACTAAAGTATACATACTGAATAAAGGCAAAAGTTTTCAAGCATTTTCTACTTGGACGTGGTAAATCCCTGGCTGCAAAACCCACAGATGAAGAAGGCTTTCTCTCTGCCCTTGGCTGAGTTAGGTTTTTTCAGTGTAAGAGATGAAGAAAACGACCTCATTAGAAGGCTACATGAAATTGTCACTGCTGAGTAAGAGCCATGACATTGTTCAGTGTGCTGGGAGGTCACCTGAGATCAGATTTCTTTAGTTTCTGTGGTGTACTTGGAAAATCTTTTCCTCTTTTGGAATCGATATCTGTGCATGGAGACAAAAAAGCCATGCACTTGTGTCTGTTGAAGGCAGTTTTCAAAAACCTGAATGATCCAGTTAAATACTTGTATAGCATTCTCTGAGTGCCAGGCACAGTTTTTACCTAGTTTACAAACAATGTGGGGTAGGAGTAGGGAAGAGACCGAGGCTCAAAAAAGCTTAGTTTAGGATTGCTTGGCCAGTAAGTGACATCCTTGGGATTCATACTCAGGTGGTTGTGGCAGGGTTCGTGCCCTTAAACACTAATCTGTGTTCCCTCAGATTAGTTTCTATTGTGATTTGGAAGTCAAGAGAAATAAGCTGATTTTTTATATACCAGACACATGACTTGTAAAAGTTCTTACAAAGTGTTTCTGTGAAGGGTCTAGTGGAAGGTGTTTGACCTTGTGTCCATCAGTTTTTCATTATTGGGGCTATTAACCTGGAAATGGTTTAACTGGGCATGATGGCACATGCCTGTAATCCCAGCATTTGAGAGGAGGGAACCGGGGAAGATCAGGAGATCAGAAGAAAGATGATGGATCAAGTCCAATGAGCCCCTTTTGGGGTCCAGCTCCAGGATCTCCTAATGAATGCCACCTTTTTTTTGTTTGGTTGGTTTTTTTTTTTTTTGAGACAGGGTTTCTCTGTGTAGCCTTTGTTGTCCTGGAACTCAATTTGTAGACCAGGAGGACCTTGAATTCATAGAGATCTGCCTGTCTTTGCCTCCTGAGTACTGGGACTAAAAGTATGCACCACCACCAACCCACTGAATGCCACCTCTTAAAGGTCCACAGAAGCTCCCAATTGGGTCACGCTGAGGGACAAGACTTTTAACATGGACTTTGGGGGGTACTACATTCAGACAATAACTCCATGCTCAGAGGCCATGGTGACACTGCAAAAGACAGAGTATTTCACAGTACTGCAAGAGCAGACTAGACTCTCAGCCACTGCTCCATCTTGCCAGCCTCACTTCTCTCGTTGGAGAAGCACTGTGATTTCTCTGTGCTAAAGGCTGTAGATTTAGTTTGGCGCTACTTCTAACTATAACTCTCTGACCTCTGAGGCTATTCTCATTCCTTAGTTGTGCTTTTTGATAAGTACTCTAAGGAAAGGCAGAGTAACGTCCTAAAGCAATCTTCAGTAATACCTTTGTAGCACCTGTGATCTGTTTGTAAATTACTATTACTATGGGCAAGCCTTCCTGAAGGCAAAGACCTTTGTAAGACATGATTTTGTGTGTGTGTGTGTGTGTGTGTGTGTGTGTGTGTGTGTGTGTGTGTGAATGTGATAAATAATCTTTGGCTTTTGAAGCATAAGGAAACAAAAAGTTCTCATTTTGTTTTGGGGGAAAAATCCTTCAAGAACATTTTAATTAAAATGGAAACTGGCTACATTTTAGAAGCATGAATGATAATGAATAAACTTCTTCTATATCCTCTAGTGTTGATATTAGTTCTGAACATGTTTACATGTAGGGTCATGCTTGAGTGTATACACACACACACACACACACACACACACACACACACACACACACCAGAAAAGCCCACTTTGAAAACAGGTGGATTAAATCCTGTTACATGAAGATTCATATTATATAAATTTTAGGGTTAGTTAGCATTTGATTGGACTCTTACACTGCTTTCTTGGGGGTGGGTTAGGTTTGACCACCAATTTTGCTACTGATGGGATTTGACCTGTAAGCAAAAAGCTTCTCCTAGTCATTTCCCAATATTTTATATACTTAATTTAAAAATTAATGTGTTTAGGTAATCACGGGGCAGTTGGAGGGCAACTTACAAGAGTCATTTCTCTCTATCATGTGGGTCCGAAGAAGATTCAGACCACCAGGTGCTTTTACCTACTGGGCCATCATGCAGGTCCTCTACTTTGTTTTGGGGGCAGAGTCTC